AGCGGCATCAGGTGGGGGGCGTCCACGTTCCACTCCTGCACCTGCGCCGTGGGGAGGGGGCTCAGGGTCACCTCCACGGGCGGGCGCTGCTCTGCACCTCGATTCGGGGACCTCTGTGTGTGATGCCACCTCACCCTCCCACCCTGGCACCCCGTGTCCTCAACCCTTGTGGGGGCTTCTTTGCCTGGGTGGGATCCCCCCCGGGTGGGCAGGGAGCAGCAGGGGGGCATCCTGGGGACATGTGGGCATTGGGGGGCATGGGGACATCCTAGGGGGCACTGGAGCATCGTGGGGGCAAAGGACACCCTGGAACAAGGGTGCATGGGGATGCAGGGACATCCTGGGGGTATGGGGACATCCTAGGGGGCACTGGAGCATCGTGGGGGCACAGGACACCCTGGAACAAGGGTGCATGGGGATACAGGGACATCCTGGGGGTATGGGGACATCCTGGAGCAGGGATGTGTGGGGATATCCCAGGATCATGGGTGCCCAGGCTCATCCTGGGGACACATGGGCATCTGGGGGCATGGGAACACCCCGGGTCAAAGGGGCATGGGGACATCCTGGGGGCATTTGAGCATCCCAGGAGCATGGGGACACCCTGGATCATGGGTGCCCAGGGACATCCTGGGACATCTGGGGGCATGGGGATACCTTGGGTCAGAGGGGCATGGGGACATCCTAGGAGGCACTGGAGCATCCCAGGAGCATGGGGACATCCTGGGTCAAAGGGGCATGGGGACATCCTAGGAGCACCAGAGCATTTCAGGGACATGGGGACATCCTGGGGGCATTGGAGCATCCCTGGGGCATGGGGATATCCTGGACCAGGGGTGCATGGGGACATCCTGGGGACATGGGGACACCCTGGACCAGAGGTGCCCAGGGACATCCCGGGTCAGCCACATCCTGGGGACCCCAGTCAGAGATGCCCAGGGACAATCTAGGGGGACAGGGACATCCTGGGTCAGTGGTGACCGGAGCATCCTGAAGCTGGAGCCTGCATGGAGTATCCCAGGGACACAGGGACATCCTGGGGGCACAGGGACATCCTGGGGGCATGGGGACATCCTGGACCAAGGGTGCATGGGGACATCGTGAGGGACACACGAGGACACCCCAGGTCAGGAGTGCCCGGGTCAGCTCAGGGCTGGAGGCTGCACGGAGCATCCCTGGGGCACCGGAGCATCCCTGGGGCACAGGGACATCCTGGGGGCATGGGGACATCCTGGGGGCACCGGAGCATCCGGAGGCGTGGGGACATCGTGGGTCAGAGAAGCCCGCGGACATCCCGGCGGTACCGGAGCATCCCGGGGGCACCGGGGCCATCCCGGGTCAGGTCCCCGGGGCTGGAGGGCGCCGGGGGTCGCTGGGGCTCCGCGGGCC